TTTTAACCCAAAAACGAAGTCCAGTTTGACCGCGAACCATTAGTGCCGGGCTCTGGTCACGAGAGTTGACTTGACGCCTGAGTGATACTTTTCCATCCGCAATTCGTCCAGCTTAACGAGGACAAGAGCGATACAAACCTTAAATGGTTTTTGCCGAAATTTCGGCTTGAAAATGTATCATTTTGTAAGAAACTGTGAGGCGACTTGAGAAATGAAACGCTTTACATGCTACCGTGTTGCAGGTTGCAGCAACCTCTGTTCTCGAAAGATCTCGATGAACGCATCGAGGAAGAGGATCGCACGGAAGCGACTACGCCGGTAAAAAAGAAATTTGAAGAGGAAAGAAGAGATGAGCGGCGCAAAAGGGAGAAAGTCACAGTCGAATCGCTCTTCAAAGCCGATCCTCCATTATCAGAGAAGTCAGCAGTCGCAGCCACTGCAAATCGGACAGAGCCGGTCGGTCCACCTTCAGGTTACTTATGTCTCGGAAATCGCATGGGGACCAGCTTCTTGAACTCTATGTCGTATTCACTTTGAATTTGTTGATTTCAGAGCCATACGACAGCGCTTCTTCCACCGAGCATAGTGCCTTCTGGCGAACCGGCTAGTTCGAGCCTTGTCACGGCAATGTATCCTCCAGTTCGACGGCCAGTAGTCACCGTTGTCAATCGGGTTTGTAAAATTTCTACATCTGCTGAGAAACTCTGCGATTATCTCCATCCTCGATTAAATCCCAGATCATGATCTCAAACTTTGGCGAACTCTTGTTTGAGAATCTCTGCAAGGGTTCCAAGCCACCTACTAAGCATTACACAATACTACAATGTGTGCCACACTGCAATTTTAGGAAAGGGAGAGACCTCCACCGGATAGTGCATCGGTGGCTACATCTATGTATCCTCAAATATCGGTTAAAAAACCGCTGACGAAAAGTCCAACAAGGGATGTGAGTAAATGAGTACGTAATGCCTATGCTCTCCTTAACTTTATCTTACTTTGTTCATTTCTGAGCTTATCAACTTGGCGCACGTTAATGATAAGTTATGTACCATGCAACGCTGGAGTCATTGTAGAAATAGCGGGCAGCGTTAGATTTGAATGACTATCTTGAGTAAAATTAGGTATTAACTAACACTTCCGGGTCTGGATAAGATTTTATCTCACTTCAAGGACGGTCAAAGATAGAAGCTGTGCATCTCATTTTTTAGGTGTTGAGCAAAATCCTATTCTTTCCATAGGGCTTGGGGTACTATTTGGAGACGAGCTCTACAATTTGGCATCCAAAAATTCGCTCAACTTTGATGCAATAGATTGGAACGTAAGTCTTGCCTCAGGAATGTTTCAAAGCGCAATATCTCTTTTCTTCCTCTATTCCATATAGGTCATGATATATTTTCAAATAAGCAAAGCTAATTCCATATTTCTAGTTCTGTATCATATGGCGTTTAAATGCCTACACCAGCTTTGGCCCACGTGAAGTTTGGAGCTAAAAACTTAAAAAATTCATGC